AAGGAAAGAAAGGAAAGAAAGGAAAGAAAGGAAAGAAAGGAAGAAAGGAAGAAAGAAAGAAAGAGAAAGAATCTAGAACAACTTCCTGCCACAAAAAAATTCTCTGATCAATGCTATATTCTTACCACATTGAAATTTGTATGCAATTTTATCTTTTTCACAAGTAGCGCCACTTTTGTTCCATTGTAAACAAATAGAGGTATCTGCTTTATCAGCCTCTACACACTCAACTAGTGTAAAATTTTGAGGATCTGTCAAGAAGAAGATATAGAAATAGACTTGATTAATATTTCATAATGTGTGCCATAAGCTCAACTATAGTCATTGAAATTATATTCATGAAATAGAATTTGGCAAGTATTTAGATTACTTTTGAAAAAGTCTAATAACTCTCAGGGTTTGTGTTTCTTGATTATTTAGTTTATCCTTTTTTTCAACCTCACACATTTTGGTAGCATTTCATTTAGAATTTACACCACATTAAAAAAATGGAACCCAAACAAACATCTAGATAAAATTGCATTTTTTTTGCACATTTTAAAACACTAATTCCATTTTGTTTTCTTATTTATATCTTCAATCTTTTCATTTACTCTGATTTTTCATTGAACAATTATTACACAGAGTATGAGGGCTTCCCTCCTGGGGAATGCAATTTTAAAAATTGCCGTTTTCTGTTTTCTTTTTTTTGAGGAAGATTGCCCTGAGCTAACATCTATTGCCAATCTTCCTCAATTTTACCTTTTTTTTTCCCCAAAGCCCCAGTAGATAGTTGTGTGTCATAGCTGTACATCCTTCTAGTTGCTCTATGTGGGACGCAGCCTCAGCATGGCTTGATGAGAGGTGAGTAGGTCTGTGCCCAGGATCCGCCGGAACCAGCGAACCCAGGGCCACTGAAGCAGAGCACCTGAACTTAACCGCTGCACCACTGGGCCGGCCCCTGTCATTTTCTGTTTTTAACTGATAATTTATTTCAGTGATATTTAGAGGAAATGAATAAGTTAAATAGCATTTTTCAAAAAACATCAGACTTTAACCTACTTAAATGTTAATAAATCGATCAATGATCTTGAATTATTAAATGATGCGAGAGATTCAACAAATTTACACAGTCCCCAAATCCCTTTTCCAAAGTGCTTTTTGTTAAGATATTCTTCCCCTGGGGTCGGCTGACACCGTGGTCCCTTCTCTTTCCCAGCAGTAGCTTAGCTGGCTAAACTAGCTTGATTGCCTTAAGTCACTATACACTGTAACGCTCCTTTTTTTTGTGAAAGTACTTTTATTCTTTCCACAGACACCAAATCCTTGACTTTGTGTTTTTCCTCAATATATTCCAGACAGACTTGTATTTAAAAGGAGAAATATGTGCACATATATATATGTACATTTTTTTTTTTTTTGTAAGGAAGACTAGCCTTGAGCTAACATCTGTTGCCAATCTTCCTCTTTTTGCTGAGAAAGATTTGGCCCTGGGCTAACACCTGTGCCCATCTCCCTCTATTTTATACATGGGACACTACCACAGCATGGTTTGAGCGGTGTGTAGCTCTGCACCCGGGATCTGAACCTGCGATCCCCGGCGGCCGAAGCGGAGCACATGAACTTAACCACTACAGCACCGGACCGGCCCCAACACATATATATTTAATGACTTGAATTAAGTAGAGGATAAAAACGAAAGTTTGTGGATAATCACTTATGCACGGTGGGATGAATTATATCCAGTCTAGATGAACCACTCTGTAAAAGAAGTGTAGGGAGGGGGTGAAGGATTAAGACAGAAGTCTGATATGAGTTTATAATTTTCGCTGGGTTAGCAGAGCAGAAAGTTCGCCCACTCATGACCTGCTAACTTCCTTTCCCTCAGCCCTGCTCTCTCACCCGACTGATGCCTCTGACCACTAGAATGCACACCATGAGAAACGGTACCATTTTGGTAAATATACAAATAGAAATCAGTAGACATTTACCTGGTGGTACTACTAACTGTAAACTTTTATGTGGAGTAGAACACGAATCATGAGATATATCAACAGCGAAAATTTCACATTCTTGTAGGCCCTTCAAACTAATTGTATTGTTTACACACGTAATATTTTTATCAGTAGATGCACATTCCACTACATCACCAACATTTAGTTTTGCATTAAAATAGTTGTTTGTCTTGTCATAATGGTAGTCCACAGAGATTTTTTCATATTTGTCCCCTGAAAGAAAATAAAATCGTGGGGATTATCTTTTTTATTTTTCAGAACAAATAAACTTACATTAAATGCAAACGTCTTAACACATATTTTTGAAAATACCCCCAGGAAAAGAGAAGGAACACATCAGGTGCCTCCATATTATTCTTTTGTAATTCCCTTCACATCACCGCCTTATCAAGGATCCAGCTTGCAGATTTGTATTTGGATGATTATTGGATTAATGTCTGTCTTCCTATCTGGACTATATATTCACGAGAGCAGAGTCCAGTCTATTTTGATCACCACCATAAATCAAGATCCTCGCATAAAACCTGTCATTAGCAGGTGTCCAATAACTACCTGTTGCATTGATGCACAAATGAATGATACATCTGACAAATTTCTTCTTCTTTCTTTATAATTTCCCTTGCTTTCTAAAATGTAGTTCTTGATTATCTGTTTCTCCAAATATATGGAACATTAATGATTAGAGAGCACAGGCCTCATTATTCCTTTACTTACATGAAATTAGTGATAATAAATCTCCCTGAGCCCCTTTTCTCAGCGCCATCTCACACTCTCACCTTTATTTAAACAAATTCTGTTGACTGGCAAAAATGTCTTTTCAAGTATTAATTTATTCACTCATTTTTAATGCAAAAAAAAAAAATTCTTAAGCCCTTACTATGTTTAAGACACTGTCCCAAGCACTAGGAATATAGATGATCAGCTTTTGGAAATGCATGGTCTAACGTGGAGAAGACATAGACATGAATTACAGAAGACATGCAAATGCCTAAAATAAGATTATGCACAAAACAATATGGGAGGAAAGAGAGAGAAATCTATTCAGATTGGAGGGACGGGAGAGGCTTTACAGAGGAGCTGGCTCAGGTTGTGGTTTAAAATATGAGCAAGACTTACAAAAATTGATGGGGGTAGGGGTGCTAAGTGAGGATGGGGTGGACTTCCAAGCATAGAGGAAGAAGGAAGGAGTAACACAGAGGTAGGAAGACACATTTGTGTTTACAAAGCTGTAAATAGTTCCATATTACTTAAGTGAAGAGTGTAAGGAGGCAACAATGCAAGAGGAACCTGATCATGAAAAATCATATTAACCAAGCAAACCTATGAAGGCTCATCTTTACACTAAATGTGCGGAGAGCTACCGAAGGCAGGGACTCCAGTGGTGAGATTAACACGTATGGAGGGATAAGCCCTGGCTGTGAAGAAGGATTCTACTTCCACTGGGGAGAGAGGAAGAAAATGGCAAAAGGATGGATATGAAAACTGTTCTCAAGCATCTGCTTTGAGCCAAACCCTGGCAAGACAGAGAGACAGAGACAGGGACAGAGAGACAGAGACAGAGACAGAGAGATTTCTTCTTCTTGATAAGCCTTGAAGATATTATCCATACTTCATCTTAATCATTACACTGAATCCTTGTCCCCCACTCCCAAACAAACTTGGTATCTTTCCATTTTACAAATACCCAAACTGAAGTTAAATGGCCTCAACAAAGTTGTTTAGCTAATAATTATTAATTATTAATCCTGGTACTCAAAACTAGGTCTGAATATAACACCAAAGCTTCTTGCCCCTGAAGGACACTGGCTTTTAATATGTGGAGCTAATCATTGGTGAGAAATTAAAGCCAGTGAGTTTAGCTTGCTAGCAGGTCTGGGAAGCTTGGAATGAAGAAGGAAATAACTAAAGCGCTGTTCTAAAGTGACATATGCTGCCTCTGGGTAAACAAACTTACCACATGATGGCTGACGTGGAGTAGAAGCTGTAACAGAGAAAAAAGAGAACGTAAATTATTAAAATTTCATTTTAGAATTAAAATTCATTTTAGAATTTCATTTTAGAATTAAAATTCATTTTAGAATTTCATTTAATTCTAAAATTCATTTTAGAATTAAAATTTCATCTCTGCT